AAAATAATTTCTTTAGTTCACTCAATGGCAATTGAAGAATTAGAAAAAGCAACAAAAGAAAAATTATTAAGTGTTGCTCAATTTAACTCCTCAGAACTGTTTACTGTCTAAAATGGTCAAGGTTACTAAAGCAATAACAGAAATTAAATCGAATACTTGTTGTTATCCACATAAACCTCATTTGAGAAAAAAATCCCCCAAAATATATATTCCACATAAATCAGAAAAAAATGATTAGCCAGAATATCTTTCAGTACACCAAAATGTTTGCTTTATCCAGTTTTAAAGAATCAGAAAGTAAGTCTAAGCTATATCGTCCACTCTGTGTAAATTACCATAATGATCGCCTGATTTATGTGACTTTACGAAAGCTAGTTTTAGAAAATCCCAGCTGAAATCAGAGGAACTGTTAATTACCTGTCATTTTCCTGTGCTCTGCTGCTTTGTATAAAACATTGCTGCCTGGATACCACTGCTACTAGCAAAAGAGCTCAAACAAAAGGCCACTAGACAAGCAGAATGAAAATAAACTGAAATGAGAGATAAATCCAATTCCCCCTCCTCCCGAAGGGTAGATAAAAAATGAGTAGATAAAGGTATTTGAGTTCTGTGTGGCCATTGCAATGAGTTAACGAACCTAGCTGAGAAGCATGCTGCCTTGGGATGGGATGGCTAGAGGGAAAGGCCTGGCTGCCTCCAGTCTCAGAAATCTGCCTGAGCAATGCTGATGTGGAGCTGGATTTCCTTCCCCACAGTGTAGTTGCAGGAGTTCAGTTCCCACCCCTACATCATTCTTTCTACAAACACGGGCTGAAAAAAAGAAACTGAAGGAAAACACAATGAGGGAGAAGAGATATTGAGGGGAGGCACCCTGCCAGCCATTCCAACACTGTGGCATCTTAAGACAAACCCAGCAGTGATGCTGTGTGAAAGCAGGATCCACAGAAGCACTGAAAAGTACCTTCATGGAATGCCCAATAAGAATGAGAAACTGTGTAGACACACCTGGAGTGAAGCAAGGTGAACTGAATATACACTGGATCTAAGGAAGGCAAGTGTGGGAAGAAGGACAAGAACGCTAGAGATTCTAGCATCCAGAGCAGGAAAGGAACTGGGATCCAGAGAGAGGGCGACTTTCCGGGAGAAGCCCGTGACCAGTGGGGTAAGGCCTGCATACAGAGTAACAGATCCCTGGAGTGTCAGCAGGGGGTTCCCCCACAAGACCAGAGGCAGCCTCCGGACACTTTGCACACTCAGGCCCCAATCGCTGGGTGCAACTAGCAGGATATGCCCAGACACCCGTACCTGGTGACCCGAGGAGTACATTTCCTCTCCTCCTGCTCTCCTGGCGATTGGTGACATGAATGCCTTCCCCTTGCCCAGTCCATCACCACCTTGCCAACTCAGCAAACAGCAAGATATGCTCCCACACTGTGGAGATTTGCAAAATCCTCACCCAGGCGGCAAATGGCAGTGAGGGCCTACATCTGCCCAGGGATCTGATGCCACCAGATGAGTGATCACTGAACGCGTACATCTATCTGCTGTGGTATATCAAAACAAAACATAATCAGGGCAAAACAACCGAACATATAACAAACCAACATAAGGCCTCAGAGATAGCAGACAATAACAAATCATGTGGAACCTGAAAAACCAAACCAAGGCCATGGAGTCGCTGCTAACTTGCAGTGACCCTAAAAGATAGGGAAGAACTGCCCCCCATGGGTTTCCTGGACCGTAACTCTTAGGAGTAGAAAGCCCCATCCTTTTCCCAAGAGGTGGACGACAGTTTCAAACGGTTGGCCTTGAGATTAGCAGCAGACCCACAGGGCTCCATGATGGCTCACAGTAGTGGGCAAAATAAGGAAAAAACTTTCCTAAGAAAGAAATGGTAACAGAACTATCTACTGATATTATAATACTTATACATAAAATCCTAAAAGAGCAAGGAAAATAGACAAAACTAGACGAATTCAAGAAAACAATGCAAAAGAAAAAACCAGGAAAAAAGAACATAGAAAAAGATAATCTGAAACCATACAAAAGGAACAATTAGAAGTTTAGAAGATTAACAATAAAATATTAGAAAGTGGTAACTCAATGGGAGAACATATAAGTATAATAAGGTCAATGGAAGGCATAAAAAAGAATCTCCGGAGCCTTGCCCTTTTATTTTTAATCTTCCCTTTTTCTGACTGCATGTAGGCCACTCCACCCTACCCCACCCCACCTCAAACCATTAAATGACTTTTATCCCAAAGAGAGCATCTAACCCGAAATTCTTAAAGTTAAAAGATAGATAAAAATATATGTATGTGCCTACATGTACTTTCCTAAGGAGAGGAGCCAAAATGTTCTCCACATTTTCAGAGGGAGTGTATGAGTGTGTGGATCCTAACAAATTATGACTAACATTGCAAACAATGAGAATGCCAGGGCACTTTACTGTGCTCAGGCAAAGTCTGTACATCTACCACATAGAATGAACAGAACAAAGAGAAGCTATGTAGTTTAAAATCAGGAACGGTGTATGTCATGGTTGTATCCTTTCACCATACTTATTCATTCTGCATGCTAGGCAAATAACGTAAAAAGCAGAGCCATTTGAAGAAGGCAGCATCAGGACCAGGATGGAAGGAAGGCTCATTAACAACTGGGAATATGCAGATGACACAACCCTGTTTGCTAAAAGTGAAGAGGATTTGAAGCAATTACGGATGAAGATCAAAGACTACACCTCCACATAAAGAAAACAAAAATCATCACAATTGGGCCAACAGATAACAACATGATAAATGGAGAAAAAAATTGAGCTTATCAACGATCTCATTTACTTCGATCCACAATTCATACCTATGGAAAAGGCAGTGAAGACACCAAATGGCATATTATACTGGGTATGTATGCAACAAAAGACCTCTTTAAAGTGTTAAAAATCAAAGATGCAACTTTAAGAAATAAGGTATACCTGACAGAAACCATGGTATCTTCAGTTGCCTCATATGCATGTGAAAGCTGGATCATGAAGTAGGAAGATCAAAGAAGAATTGATGCATTTGACTTATGTGTTGGTGGAGACTATGGAATCTACCATGGATGGCCAGAAGAATAAACAAAACTGACACAGTGGAAATGATGGTCTTCCAACAAATGACTGACACAGTAGCTACAATAATGGGCTCACGCACAACTGTGAGGATGGCCTTGTTTCATTCTGGTGCACATAGGAGTCCTGAGTCAGAAAGAACCCACTCAACTGCACCTAATAACTGTAACCTGAAAGATTAAGAAATAGCAGTCAATGCTAATCCTATTCAAGACACCTTGACACAGTGAATGGCTCACACAAGCTACATCCAAACTCACCTGAACAGACCTTGCAATACTTTGACTGATTTCTTTCAGTATATGTAGGGATATTTTAATTAATTCTCACTACAATAAGTCCATTATCCGCATCCACAAAAGGAAAAAAAAATTGATGCCAGGTAAATTAGTTTTAAAAAACGACTTAAATTTCAACGAATTGGGCCATTACTCCGCACCACTGTGAAAACACTTCCCCCTGGCACTTCCAAGTTAAAAAAATCACCAGTCTTTATTGCCGGTTATTATTACCCCAGAGCTACCAAAAGCATACTTCCAAGTTTTTTCAGTAGAGTCTAACTTTCTCTACATTGTCCCACATGGCACTCTCTTCTCTTCCCATCAGCCAGGCCGCTTCCCCAGGAAACGTCTCCATCCCCAGCGGTCGGACAGCCTTCCTTTCCCCAGTACTCCCTTTGGTACCAGAACTCTTCTCACCATTACCTTGGCTGCCCAGATCCTCCCCCACCTCTAATCCTTTAATCCTCCCGCTTTCATACCCGCCCCCCCCTACTCCAAACCTCAGGACCCTCCCCTGCGCTCCAGCCCCTGCCGCTGGAGCCGCGACGCCCCGCAGTCTCCACGCCCCCCGCAAAGCCCACCCCCAGCCCGCCCCGGGCATCACCCGCGCCGACGCGACGTCCCGCCTCCTTCTCGCCCCACTCCGGGCCGGGAGCCGGGCTCGGGCCTCCTCCTCGGGCAGCGGGTGCTCGGCTCAGCGGAGGCTGCGGCTGCGGCGAGGCAAGCGCCCAGGGCGCCCGGTGCGGAAAGTTTGAACGCGGGGCAGCGGTGGGGGCGCTGGCTCCGGAGTAGCAAAGGCGCCGCGGCTTGGGCTCCAGGGTAACGGAGGCGGAGGCCCAGACTGCACTGCGGGGCCGTCGTAGCCAATGATGCCTCTCCCACAGCTTCCATTGGTTGATGTTTCCAAATCGCCTTTCCTATTGGCTCCAGTGGTACCTGAAGGCGGGATGACGATTGCAAGAGAAGGCGGCCATTGGCCGCCCGCTCCAGGGGGAGCCGTGGCACCCGAAGAGGCGTCCTAGGCGACGTCCTGGAAGCTCGCCTGCTCGGACGGGCTGTGCCCACGGAGACGCGGTGGCGACGCGGCGAGGCCGCCCCGGCCGAGGGAGGGCCGGAGGCAGGCCGGGAGGAAAGGGTTGTAGAATTTGGTAGCTGCTGAATGGAAAGCAAAGCACTAAATTCTCTCGAGTTCCTTTCGGAAATATGTAGCGTGGTCCTTAATTATCAATCCGTTTTAAACAAATAGCTCGATCTCGAGCTTAACTGAAATTGCTGATTTTCAGGAGAATGTGTATTAATTTGTTTGGCTTTCCTGAATCTTAAGTGCCCTGTGAGTTTGTCTCGAATGTGATTTTGGAACCAGTATTGAATCCCCAGCCAGTATTTGGGGTGGAATGGAGTACTCGAACTACGTTATTATTTTTTTAAGAGAAAACGTCCAGTAGTGCGTGTCCGTAACTCCGTGAACGCTGCCCTGTGACCTATTTTTCCATTTTAAAAGTTGCCCTGAATAAGTTGCAGGTGCGAATGAGGTCAAAAGAAAGCCTTCTGTTGATTGAGGGTTATTGTTAAGCCTCTTTAATTGACAAGAAGGATTAACCGTTAGCCGCTGTTCTCGCCATTGTTCATTTTTCAAAAAACTGCATCTTGCTTCCATTCCAGAGAAGCCAATTCTTGAAAACAAATCATGCTAATCAGGTCTCTGAACTTGAAATCCAATTTCTGTGTCTTGTTTGACTTCAGCTTCCCAGCTTTGCCCCATTTCCGATGTCTTCCTTTTATTTTACTTGCATTGTCAGATTAATCTTCCTTAAAATAGTGTAATTAAATATGTTCTTTATATGCGTTATAGCTTAGGAAAATAGCGAGCATCTGTTAGTCCAAATTAATGAGTAATTCTTAAAATGATATTAAAATACTTTCTCACCTGTTTATATTTGTACTTCCTGTTAAAATAGCTCATTGGTTATATTGATTCCCTTAGAGGTAACACTTTACTTTTGGAGGAAATTGCTAGATAGTGGCAAAAATAAAGTCCTTTGCATAAAGTCAAATCAGGGTTGCTGGCACTGGAGAGCATTTGAGAAAGAAACTAACATTTATTCAGCCCTCACTAAGTGCCAAGCAGGGCATATTATTCCATCTTCATTCGTGACTCGAGAAACATATTGTTATTCATGGTTTATACTTGAGGAAATAGAATCAGAAGGTTAAAGAATTTATAGAAGACACTTAAATAGTCCAGGCATTCTGAAGATTCACGCCTAGGCCTGCCAAACTCTGAAATTCACCATTAAAATGTTAACCTTTATAGCATTTTATCTATAGGTTAGTACAGTTGCTGATAGATGATAATTAAAAAGATAGAAGTCTTCCAAATTTGTCTATTTCTACCTAAAATCTCCAAGAACTGTTTATCAGCTCATTTTTCCAAGAACTTTACAGTGTTCATCAGCTCATTTGACCTTGAAAACTAAAGGCAAAAAAAATTTGCCTAAAGATGAAAAACTAAAACCAAAACAGTTGTAGACTTCTTCCAAATTTGTC